CCTCTCCGCTTTGATAGACGTGTTCCCGTATTTGTTTCCGCGTATTTATTCGCGTTTCGGCCTTGCAGACTTGCAAAAGTTGTCGCACGTTTTGGTTAGCTCTCTTAGAATGCCTGTGCATGTAGATGCAGCACCGTTTCTCACTACCTTACACGAGTCTGCTCTTACACCCCTGCAACTTTCCATTTCGAATGCGCTGGACATGCTCCGGGAACCGATTCCGGACCGTGGCTCAGTTCTGGACAATAGCTCTCAACCAATGTATCCAACAGTTTTTTCAACGCTGTTGCAAGTGGTGAATTTCGCTTGCAAGCCCCCGGCATTGGAGGATATTGAAGAGGATGAAAGAAAGAATTGGGTCGTCATAACTTTGGTACCGTTTGCTGAGAGTTGTGTTGAACGTGTGGTGGACTTGTACCGAGAGTGCGCCGATAATGATAATGTGATCCAAGATCACGTGATTTATAGCATTGTTAAGGTGAGTCGGTTAGTGTTTTAGGACTGCAACATGCGGATCCTTTGAGGCACTCGTCAGTCACCGACTTGTTGTTATCAATTTATAGTCGTTACATGAGCCATTGAAGTTGAAGTATCAGTGTGGACGTCAATCTACGTGGAAGCTTGCTATCAATTCTCTCATCACGATATTGCAACTCGCGTTACCTGTTGCTTATAAGGATACTCGTACAGGTTTAACGCTTTGATATTTCGTCACGTTTCCCCCTTGACCGTATTCCACTCACGATTCGAGTTGTTTTCTTTGTTAACCTGCGTGTACTGTGGGAAATAACATGTGTGATTTTGTTCCTTGAAAAGAACAAAAATAACGAAGTCAAGTTCTTCTTTTCAGAGCTATTTCATTCAATGTGGGAAGAAATCGCCTCTACGTTTGAGGATTTTTTGTTTGCCATTAGGTTTGTATTCACCTACATGTTTCTTTTCTTATCCAGTTTTTTTTTTAAGAGTAGCCCCATTGGGAAAATTTTATTTAATGATAAAAATGGTACAACTTTTATAACTACAGCATACAAATATAAAAAATGTTAACTAAAATGAATTGTTTAAAATATCCATGATAATTTTCAAATTACTAGCTTCAAAATAAAAAAAAGTGACAGTCAGGTGTAAAGACAACTTTCCCAATAAGCTAGGTCAATATTTAAAGTGTGTTCGCTTGTTGAGGCAGATCGACTTCCTCGTATCGCAGTAATTGCTGACCTAATCAGTGCGAAAGACAGTTTACAACGCATCTTACAACGCATTTTCTTATCCAGTAGTTTGTATATATTATTTAATTTTATTGTCCAACTCTTCCATTTCAGTAATCCACCTGATACACAGACTTTAGACGATCACTTGAGCGACGAACAGCTCGACTTAAAGGTTTGTCTCTGGACATTTTGCCAGATTTTGTGGACTTAGTTCTAATGAGTCGATGTAAATAATTTCAATGGAGATGTTGTCTATAGAGATGTTGTCATTTAATATGCTGTCAATAGAGATGTTGTTAATGAGGATGTTGTCAATTGGTGGCTTGCAACCCCTGGGAGTAAGAGAACAATGGAATGCTCGCCATGTTGGATAAAATTTACATTGTACTAAGGAAAAGCTTTTGTTAAAATCATCCAACATGGGGACTATGACGTAGCTTGCAACCCATTAATAGAGATGTTATCAATAGAGATATTATCAATAGAGGTGTTATCAATAGAGATGTTGTCAATAGAGATGTTGTTAATGAGGATGTTGTCAATAAGCATGTTGTCAATAGTGATGTCCTCAATATAGATTTTATAGAGATGTTGTCAATAGAGATGTTGTCAATAGAGATGTTGTCAATAGAAATGTTGTCAATAGAGATTTTGTCAATTGAGATGTTGTCAATAGAGATGTTGTCAATAGAGATGTTGTCAATAGAGATGTTGTCAATACATATGTTGCAATGAACATGTTGTCAATTGAGATATTGGTCAATAAAAATGTTGTCAATAGAGATGATGTCAACAAAACGTTGCCAACATAGATATATATTCCGCGATTTCGTTCTCAGTACCCGGGTTTTTAATTTCTCTGTTTTCAGATACTTCGCATTATACGCGACGATATCCTGCCGCATTCTGATATTCTTCCACGCGATTTCTTGTCGAGAGTAATGACGCTACTGAATAAAGGCTCCATTCATTCTGCTACAAACTCTACTCTTGAAGGTTTGCTCGCAAGTTTTCAACATTCTAAATACACAAAATTTAACTGAAAGATCTTCATGGGAGCCATTGCATTTCGACCCAGCAATTTGGGATGGACATTAGGAAGGATTGCATTGTGATGCCGTCAAAGATATTTAACTGCGAGAGCAGTGTGGAATGCACACAGTGAAAATCATTTTTTGAAACGGTCCCCAATCTTAGGATGTTCAAACTGTTCATATATTTGTATCTGCTAGTGTATTTTTTATTTCGTGTATTATTTTTTTTCCATTTCAGGTCTTGATGGTAGTAAATTCCCGCTTCGTGAAGAGTTTGCGAAAACATGTTTTGAAATTCTTTTGGAGTTTTCATTCTCTCATGGCAATGCAAAGGGAATTCAGAAAGGTAAATCGCTAACGGTACAATTTTCGTAAGGGATGGGTCATAGAAGTGAATATAACTGGAATGCTACTTCAAACCTTGAAGGTAGCAATTGAACTAGTCCAATCTTTCCACGCCCAGTCCAAAGAAGGTTTATTTACGACAGTGAGCCAAAGTTCGTGACTTGACCTCGCTTGTGCAAGTACAGGCATGTTTATATGAACGAGTTATTAATGTAAAATGTAATGAACATTACACAACTCAGCATGGCTCGTTCATCTGATATATTTACACAATTCTTCGCCCAAATTCCCCACTTCCACTAATTCATAGATGCTTTTGCGACTTGAAAAGATTAATTTCCTTAGTTTAACTTTTAGTTCAATGCGAACATTATCGTATTTTTGTGTTCCTTGTTTAGAGGGAAAGGTCTCACAATTAGCCATTGACTCGCTTCTCGGACGCTGTAAGGATGTTCTTTCCAAATACTCGGAAGATGATAAACTTGGCGGAAAATGTCCCTTACCAAGGTTCGTTTGTTTGTATGATTAACTCAAAGATGGATTTATGGAAGTGGTGCGGAGTCGTGCCCACATCGCTACAAAATACTAATGTGCCAAACAACTAAGCAAAAACAATTGTGATCACGACTGGTGTTTAATGAACCCCAGTTCCGAAACTCTTCCGATCATAATGAAAGTTCACAGACCTTGACAAATAAATCTGACTTGCTAGAGTAAGAATTAACAATCTGAATCTAATACAAACTAAATCACCCCTTCTACGAAACCATCATGGCTCCATTCCTGGTTTAGCCAAATGTTTATATGTCTCGTTGTGTATTTACGTCCATCGTGCATGTGCTCATAACTATCCTCATATGCTCATCGATCCTCGCAAATTTATGTCCTTTATGTGTATATATGTCGTGCATGTGTCACATTCATTCCCTATCCTATGTATTTTATTTGCATCCCGATGTTTCATTGTTTATCCCTTTTATTTTTATTTGCATCCCAATGTGTTAATGTCTATCTCCTGCAGTTTTCTTTGTATCCTATTTGAAAACGTCTATCCCCCTACTTAGGTTTGCATCTCCATGTGTTAATGCCTATCTCCTGTTTTTTATTTGCATCCTTATATGTTCTTGTCCAATCCCATATATTCATCAAATGACCAACTTACTGTAGCAACATGGATGTTCAGTCGTTCTTTTTATAATTTACAAACCAAATTTATTTATAATTTACAAATCTATTTATAATTCTCGTCATCCTTAGTGAAAGGTCTTTTTGCTTCCATTTTTCCTTTCATTCAGAACACGTATGGCTGAGGTTACATTTGTGATAAAGGCGATGGCAACTTTAGTGTTGTCATTGAAAAAATTCAAAATCGCCTTCAACTAATTGCAAAGGTAAGATTGTTCTATCTATTGCAGCCGACGATAAATATTTCCAAGTTACATACGTCTTAAATTATTATTCCAAACTGCAATTTTCAGTTGATCCAAGACTGTGGTCTCAGGTGGTCGACATCTATCCGTGCGTCGAATGTATTACGTGCAGCTCCGATGATGTACGCGAGGCGTTGAAGCTAACGTTATTCGAATTTCAGGATCTCCTGTTGCATGACTACGACAATGCAATCAATAATCAATAATCATCATCAGAGAAAGGCCATTTTGTTCCTTTCCCATTAAAAAACGAGAAATGTCGGTAAAAATAAAAAGCCCAGCTTAGGTAAACCTTTTCACGTGATTTTAAGGTTGCTGTTTCATGTTACGTGCGTTCACTACGCTATTTATTGACCGCTGACCGTAAACTGAGCCAAACATCAATACACGCATGCTCGTAACATGGATTTGTAGCCATCTTTAATAGCAATTCATTTTGTAGAAATGACAAAATTTAAATTATTGGGGAAACTCCTCGCTTGTAATTTCATTTCATTGTTTCAATGCATTTTCACGCGATAGCAGTATGCGAAAAATGAATCATTTGTTATAATTTCCTGTGGTTTACACGTTTTCTACTTTTTATGTACATCTGATTTTATAAATAAATCAGTATTGTTGGCAATAGCTCAACATTCAACTAGTTTCTGTTTTTAGTTTACAAAGTTTATTAATGAGTAATTTCTTCTTGCTACTTTAGTTTACTGTAAAACATTTCACAGTTTTGTTAATACTGTTCTGTCTGTACCATGGTATGCACACAATTTGTTGAGTGTTTTCAATTATCGTTGTTTCCGACTTTGTTTCCAATCAAAGAATGTCTTCAACATTCCATCACGTCTTTCACTAACGTGATTGCGTGATTTCTTCTTGAGACCTTTGGCCTTTGGTCTCTCTCTTTTCTTTCATCCATCTCGGAAAAGCCCTTTGATTCGAATTCAGTTTCGACTGTGTGTTTCTGTAGTAATCTTCTTTTTTTCGCACGCGAGACTTTTATTTGCTTTGTTGCATGCTTTAGGAATCATGGCGTCCTTCAATCGCTTCCAAGGATCCTGTCCTTTCCTTTCTTGCGTTGCTTGCAAGGCTACTTGAAATATCTCTTTGACGCCTTCCCAGATAAAGCTGAACATTCTTTGTACGCGAATGCATTTATTTTCCTTGCAATCTCGCGTCCTGTTGACGAACTCACTGGCACTTCGTCGTTTTTTGACCACCGCTGGCCATGAGCTGACGACAGCTGTCGACGATCCATTTTGTTTCCAACCAATATAATTGGGACGTTAGGGCAATAATTTCTTAATTCTGGTGTCCATTTCTCGTAAACGTTTTCCAGGGATTCTGGTCGGTCAATTGAGTACATAACAATAAACACCGATGCTTTTCGATACAACATTGGTCGAAATACTTCGATATCCTCTTGTACAGCGGTGTCCCAAAGTTGCAAAGATATAGGTCTCCCATTAAGTCGAACTTTCTTCGTATGACTTTCGCAGATAGTAGGCATGTATTTGCTTGGAAATTGTTTACCAAGGTAGACTTTTATAGCCGACGTTTTCCCGCTCATTCCATCACCAACAATCACGATGTCTTTCGTCATACTCTAAAAAACACAAAAATTTCTTTATAAACGTGTTTTATTTTCCTAATAGCTGTTGCAATGTTGTAAAGTCTTTGTTATCGTTCTCTAGTTTCATAATTATTCCTTTAGTTTTGGTCAGCATGATGGGAGGGCGTTGTCAGACTAAAAACGATTCGTCTCTCTTTTTGACTTTCAAAGTTGAAACAGCGGAAATATTCTTCTCAGTTACATTATCGAAACCTTCAAAACAAAACAGCATGATAGAAAACGCCAGTTTTCTTTCAACTTTTGCAAAAAAAACTCAGGTTAAAGGTCGTGATAATGAGCTTAACATTGTAGCTGAGAACATTTCCTCCTCATTCATCATCGAACACATGGCTTTGCTATTAATGTCTGTCATTTACGTCATAGATGTTTTAAAACATCTGATTTTAGTGATATATCCTATTCTTGCAGCCGATTTGATCATAATACAAGATAAAAGTGGATCAGTGACGCAACAGTGAAGCTAGGTGTTACCTTCTTGTTGAAAAAAACCATAATTTGCATGATTCGCGCTGAAAACATGTTTCTCACGAAAAATCGCTGGTTGCTTAGTATCGGCCTATAAAGACTGGACCAGCTATGTTGAAAGATTTCACAAACTAGTATAGCAACATGCATATAATTTTGAAATACCAATCAAATTATACGAAAGACATCCCACTCACCGTTTGTAGTCAAATAGGATTGAAGATATTTCTGCTGGAAGTCTTGCACCTTCTATATTCTCTCTTCTCCGTACCTTTACTTAGATGTTCACTCGACAGTGTGTTGTGTGCGTTGATGGTTTTACTCCGAATGTGCGAGTTTCTTATAATGCAGGCATTCCCCTGCTTGGGGTTTCATGTTGTGAAAACATTTCCGTAACAGATACTCCATGAACGTCATAGTTTGGCAGAACTCCGACTTTCTCTCATTTACAAAGGTCAAGTTTCCACATCTGTTTCGTTTATGATGGGTTAGTAGTTTTTTGTTCAAGATCATTTGTTAGTAGTCATCCTTTGGTTACCTCCGTCATGCGAGTGCTTGTATGGTGGCCAGTTATTCGCGGAATGCATTCGATTGAACGATAGTAGGAAGTGTAAAACTACGTAATTTTTAAATGGTTTGAAAAAAGCGCCTTCTGTTTAGTCGGGGGGGCTTTGAAACGTGATGTTATGATACTTATGATTCATTCAAGACGGTTTGGATGGCTGTATTTTTTATGGGGGACTGTATATGACTCTTAGCTACATCCCACGTATATTCATTATACGATTTTAAAGTGCATGAAACGCGTACGACTAGCATTGTTTCGTAAATTTTTCATTTTTCAACGATAGTTAATGAAGCTCCTTTTGCGAAAACATTTAGCTGAATTGCAAACAAATCATTGTGTCAAAGTGGCGTTTGAATGAAAACGAAAAGTGAACCTCGTTTCAGTTATGATTATAAAATTAACACAATGAAACGCGTGCGCTGATTGGTCTAGCATGTGCAAAACACATCTGAGCTCAAGCAGTAAAATAAATAATAACAATCATTTCAGTCAAAGAGAATCTGCAAATCGATCATTAATACATTTTAGAGGAAAAATTAAAATGTTTGTCTGTTTCGCATTATTGTTATTTTATAAAAGAAATAAAAGATGTTTTTCGTGTTTGCACTGGCTTATGCAAACCTCGGAGACGTTTGTGAGAACTCTCGAGCACGAACAACCCTCGACCTTCGGTCTCTGGCTTGCACTTATCTGCTCTCGAGTTCTCCCAAAGGTCTCCTCGGTTTGTATAAAGCCCGTGTAAACACAGTAAACATCTTTTATTTCTTAAAGTGGTTATATCACGAATTTTAGCCCCCCTTTTTTACGAGCTTAATTGAAAATTTGGATTATTTGAAGAACTATGACATGTCGCTGGACTTAAACAGATAAATATAAGTTGCTTAATTTTGCCTCCAAAGTCGGGTACTATTTGCGAATTTTTTACGACGCCATATTGATACTTGTGACGTAGATAGTTGAACACGTCTGTTTCCGTCAGTATAATATTATATTATAGAAGGTGATTTTGTTGTCGTTTTTCTTGTCTTAAAAACAAATAATGACAGTATTTTCAATAAAATATTAAAAAAAAAGTTGTCCGGAAAGTATGGCATCAAATCAGTGCTCAGATAATTCGAATTCGATGTCTGAATGCGTATCTGATTCGAGCTCGGAATCCGTGGGTTATGTCGAGCATTTAAACGACTTCGCATATGACGATGAACCGCTAGCAGGAGATGGTGATGAAGTGCATACTCCAGATGATCCCGATGGAAATCTCCCTGCGACATTAGAACAACGAAGTGATGGCGTAATTCCACTTGGTGAATGGTAAGTTGTTGTTTTCTCCTGTTTGTAATATACATAAAGTTACTTTATAAACCAGAATGCTCCCACGTTTCAGGTGTAATTGTCAATGCTGTCATACCGATTTGTTAGAAGGCGCATTAGAGTACAGATGCTGTAAGGAAATGGACCAGCTTTGCAGAAAATGACATTCGATGGCAGCATTGAGAAAATATCATGCATAACACAGCATGCCAAATTTGGGCCTTTAGTTCATGAGGCTGTCCTTGAAAACGTCGGGCCACTATTGAGAGATAGGAATGGACGTGCTTATCGCCGCCAAGCATCACAATCACTAAATATGTAAGATTGTAAATTGTATGAGAAACAATGTTATAATCAACATTGTTTCATCAACAATAATTAGTCCAACCTTTTTATTTACTTCAGGTACTTGAGAGCTGTGGCATACAGATGGTTGATGCGATGGTTTTGTGGGTCTATGGGATGGGAGAATACTGGCCTTTACCTGCTTGTGTTTACCACTTTATTCGGAAAGCATATCAAGTGGTAACACAACAGGTTATATCAGAGAGGCGATGATGGAATAGTCTTTAACTTGTGCACTGTAGAGACTGTTGACCTTCTTTTCTGAGTTTGGAATGGTCAGGATATATGCCTAGATGAAAACCAAATAGGAGATACATGGATGCACTATATAAGTTGACATGCAGTTTAATGGTTTGAAACAAGAGTAAACAATAAAAACAAATTGGTGCAACTACTGAGAGGTTAAGCTGAAAGAATTAAATGAAAGAATATCTTTTCTTCAATGTCAGTCTGGGAAAAAAGACAAAAGAAAAAATATATGAAATTAAATCATAGCATAAATGTAAAAATGGAAAATAGCAAGCCGTTCAAATGGCGAATCGTTTGCTTCCCCAGTGCATACTCAAACATGCTCAGCTTCATCACTAGTAGATGGTACTTCATCATTGAGAGAACATGTTTCCTTCAGCGATGGCTTATGGAGAGTATGTCGAATCTACAAAACTTATATCAAATTTACATATGACAAAGAAAATTAATAAACAAGCGTAAACTTACTTGTCTTCGCTTTCGATCGGTTATTTCGTCCTGTAATGGTTCAGGAATCCCAGCCACGTCAATGGTTGGGATAGCATCTTTCTTCAACCTTCTTTTGAGCTTGACTTACACACTCAAATTAAGGTCAAAACAAGAATCTTCAAAATGCGCAGAACACAGACACGAGGTAGAGGAAGCCTCAAAACCCGGTCTATGTTTACGCACAAAATTTACCCATTTTCTATGTCTTTGCGGCTCTGTTTCTTTTTTAGGAAACAGATGCATCGACATTCCTTCGGTTTTTGAATCATTGGCGCAACTAATTTGATTATTTCCGCCAGCAACACAGCGTTTTCCTCCGCGTTTCTTATTAAGATTACTAGTAGAATACGCCATGTTGATATATGTGTTCAACTTTCTACGTCACAACTCATAAGCATACCGATCAAAAAGTTCGCAAAAAAAATGCTGAAAATCGTGACTTTGAACGTCCGTAAAATCACTTTCACCAATCCAATTTCAATTATAATTGCAGGTTTAAAATCACTGAAACAAGGTCTTTCAATTTAGCTAATAAAAAAGGGGGGCTAAAATTCGTGATATAACCACTTTAAATAATGCAGACTAGAGGCAGAAATTAACAAATGCGCATGCACTGTACTGAAATCCTTTTTACAGTCATTATATGGTGACTATCTGAAAATTCTTTTATATTTTGTATTTTCGGAGTTCTTAAAATTTTTACATAAGCTCGAAGTATTTGTAATGTTTTATCCGTTTTCGTTCGTATTTCGTAATATTAACATGCTTTGTCATAACTGTCCCGTAATCGTGGCATTTTGTGAAAGTTACAAATCTTTTTCATAGTATTTTGTATTTCGAATGGTAGCGAGCGATTGCCGTCGGCATACGAGTTGCTAAAGTCTCGTGATTCCTTGGATAGGTGTCTCGCTCGTAATTTTTGTACGAGGGGCTAGCCATCGCTTGTGCTCCCTCGCCAAATCATGTTTGTCATCATGTCAGCTAAGAGCTTATTAACGAGTGTGATTGTAAATATCAGGTCTTAACTTGTTGTGAAGCTCGTGAATTGTAAAATTAACTTTTAGATATTGTGGAAAAGGTAGTTTGTAGTAAGTATTTTTGTGCACTAGCATTATCCAACAAGCACTGGCTGAAATTTTTATTTAAAATCAGTTTAAACGTACGTGTCGGTACGTTACGCTTGCGAACGAAAACAACATTAGATTTGTAATTCTCATGAATCAGTTCCCATAATTTTAACAATTTGATTGCGTGACTTTAATTCCTATAGTTATACTTTAATTAAAATTTATTAATTCCAGCTTTTTAAAATACTGGTTCGAAAGGTTAAGGAGATAAACGTGATTCACCTGTAGGGCGCTTAGTTAAGAATTTCTTCGAAACAAAGCGAAGGGCTTGATTAAATTTCACTGCATGAGCATTATGAGCATATCATAAATAACAAGATTATGCAATTCATCTCTCGACATGTTAATGGCATTTTCCTCATACACTAGCGACTGTTTGGTGAATGGGGAGGTGCCAACAACTTTACTTGTTACCAAGTAATTCCGATATTTTATACACACAAACTGATGAGCAGCCCTTTATTTGTTGTACTCACATCCATTTGAAGGAGGGAAGGGACTGAGACAGAGGTTCAACATTACACCCAAATTATGAGGTCATGGACTCAAGGTCAGTATAACATTGCGAAGTATATTTGGAAAATTTATTGTTGTTGATTTCCTATCTCCTTCCTGTGACTTTGTAAAATGTTTAATGCGTATTTAGGACACAAGTTAGCTTGTGGTTGTACCCCAGATCATTTGAATTATCACGGCTGTTAACACAGAATAGATACGTATACAGAAGCGCCACTTAGCGAAAAATCTGTGAATGGGGAGGTGCCAACAGCTTTACTTGTTACCAAATAATCCCGATAAGTGTGGGTGTGTTTACCTGAGCATTTTTTATCAAACTTCCCTCTTAAATTTATTTGTAACTTGTACAAAAATAAAAAATTTGTATTATTCTTATCGTATACTTTTACCACTAAAATTGTATTAACTAACTGAGTAAGTTAGTACTTGAGATTTTAAACAATATATTTGTGTAAATAATTGTTGTTTTATTACTGAAAACCGAAAATTAATAAATGTGAAAAGTTCTATAATTTGATAGCGAAACTGGTAGCGAAATTTGAAATTTTTCAACCAATTTTCGAATAAAATGAAAACTTGGTTGCAGAATTAGAAACATGCATTCGACTGTAGGAGCCTACGAAAAGTGGCTCAGCGGCTTCTTGCCACAAATCCAACATGGCTTCCACGGACGGTATGTGTTTCAAAATATCGTTCATATTTATTTTGAAATTAAGCGCGTTTTCCATTTAATGTTATTCTGTTGTTTTGCAGACATAATTGTAAGACGAAGATTGCTGATTGATGGTGAAGGAAGTGGGGATAATCGAAAAATTCAGACCTTACTGAAGACGTTTTTGAAGTGGTTTCACTTCGAGGGTAACGAGGACGAAAGGTAATAGTTTTAGAGTTACTTCTTACTCCTGTTGTCCAGTATCTTGCGGAGAGTTTCATTGTATTCCAAAATTAATCAGTTCAAAGACATCAATGCTATTAAACCACAACTTTATGTAATTTAAGCTGTGTGATCAGTGTAATGACGGTAGTGAACAGCGAATTCTACTAACACATGTTGAATGCAATTCCAAGAAAGAAATGTCGCAAAATTGTATGTTTTTTATTGAAATGATAGCAACGTCTGACCTTATATTACCAATTTCTAGGAAAACGCTGGTGTAGCTCAGTTACCGTCCTTTGTATATATGCAAGAATCCTTTTTTGAAATTCTGTGGACTCTCTAGTTGTCTTTGCGTCGTTAGGATCTTTACGAGTTAACATGTCCATATTGGGGTAGCCAATGATCAGATTAATTACAAATAATTTCTTTCAGCCTTCGAAATACCTATATTATTAATAAATAGGCAAGCATTTATAAAGCTGGGTTTATATGTAAACTTGTAAAGTTTTGGTCTGCTGGTTAAACGTTTCTAACGATCAAGTTTATATTGCCGTTAGTTAGTGTATAAAAAGCAATGCATTCAAGTATTCAGGAATTGATTATATTGATGTTTGATTGTTTTGGAAACTATAAAATATAGCAGTAACATTTATGAATCCTGCAAGATGACAATTTATTATGGATTTGTTATATTAGGGATCATTTGTACAACAAAATGATGATTTTGCTGGTGCAATGCGACTTTAACATTTGTAAAACGCTGCAAGTCTTTGAAATGAATCAAGTTGAAATGAAGAATTACATGGACCTTTATGAAAATATTGGTGTGATATTTTATGAGTTTTTTTTTTAATTGGCCTTTATGATGGACGTATGTGAACTGGGATTAAAAAGTTCAGTCATATAATAAAATTAGTTTTCTGTTGAATTGTTATAAAATGGACTTAATATTGAGCCTCTGTGTTTAGGGGAAAGCATAAAGAGTGCCAATGATCAAATTAAGGAGTGTAAAAGAGATTTGGATGAGGCTAAAACAGTTCGAAAGAACAGACAAGGTATAGTACATTTTGTTAGAAAACTATAATTTAGTCTGCCACAGTGATTTATTGATTACAATTATGATAAAGTCACTTTGCTCTGGCTTTAAAATAACTTTTTTCATGCAACATTCTGATCAGTTGCTTTTTGTATTTTGTTTAGAGTATGATGCTCTCGCAAAAGTTATATCAAAACAGCCAAATCGAAAAGAAACTTCGAGGTAAGATGGGCTGTGGTCTGTTTAAAGAAATCAATTATCTGTCTTAAAATTCCGTGTGGAGATTAAGTTTTTATACTGACAGACAAAAACCGGCGTATATTGCTCCTGAATAGGCGCGAAATGTGCCCTGACAGTAATCGTTGTAAAATGTGCCACATGCTGCGTTACTTAAGATATTAACGCTCTCTCAGACAGACAGTCAGTGCGTGGAAAGGTGGAAAAAATCCTAAAAAAAAAACACTGTGCAGACCCTTTTACTGTGCGGTGCTTTTCCATTTACAATTATCGAAACTGATAAAGTCGTTAAAAAGTACAAGTCGATAAAACATCCTTTCAATTTTAACATGAATGTCCTTTTACTAGGTCATTCTGATGTACTGTACCTACTTTATATATATCGAACCAAATGTATTTGATTCATATGGAAATCTATGTCTATATTTCATTTATGTCTTGTGGTGTACAGCGAGATAAATGTCTTAGAAAAGGAACTGCAGACTTTAACTGAAACGCAGCAAACTCTCACAACGAAGGTAACGTTTGGCGATTTTTTTATAAAAGAAAACAGCATCGCCTCGGTTTTTCTCAGTATATTTTGTGTGATCATTTTCCCCACAGCTCGAGCTTCGAAAGAAACAGCTCCACTTACTCGTTCATACAATACACGAACTACAAGAAATGTTGGAAGGTGAATATTTATTTGTGTCCTCAATTAAATCTCCGCAAACTTTTTAAATTTTAATAGCAAAATGAGAAACGGCGAACACCCTTCTCTAAAATGCGAAGTGTATCAAATTTGCGATGGGTCTTTCTACCTCGCCTTCCTGTTAAAACCGAATTCGAGTTACGTAACATATTTCCAAACTTTTCTATGTTTGTTATCATCCTTTTAGATGATCCAGGGGGCATCAAGGAAGCCAAGGATATATCAGTCGTTGCCGATGATTCTATTGACATGGATGTATCGTGAGGTGATCATTTGCTAAGTGCCCGCACAGATTCCTGGACATCAATCTTGCTTATTGGATTAAAGAACGAGTATGTCATCTACGGTTTATTATCTGTCGATGGGAGTTAAGTAGGCACGTACTAAATACTACAAAGGGAACCGAAATAAGAGTTTTCCTGCCGAAAGTAAGTCTACACTTGTTGATATACAATTTAACAAGAATTTTCATTATATTTTCTTGCTGGTATTAAGTATGCACATTTAGCTTGTGAAGTTTTTTGATTGATTTTATCATTGTGTGAACACAAGCTTTACCCAGCTTCACCAATTACCATGGCGACAACAAGCATTGTGGAATAACATAGAAAAATATCAATATCTATCGCTTGATGACCATCATGCTATAAAGACCTTTTCTCGAATTGATTAAATAGACCATTTAAGCGTTCACAGAACGTTCAATCATTCAGACTAAATACTTTAATATGCGTTTCATAAAGTCGTGTTTCCTTCAATTTCTTCCTGCTTCCCAACCGACGGCCTGACCATATGTAGGAGGAGGTTCGTGTGGAGAAATGTTTGGGTTAGGATTAGGGTGCAATCCATATCCTGTGGTTGGTGGGTAAGGTGCGGTTGGTGGGTTCTCTGCATTAGGAGAAGGCATGATGCCGTAGCCGGAAGTAGGATAATGTGCTGTTGGAGGTGAGGATAGTTGCATTCCGTCGCAAACAAACCAAAAGCTGTGGACATCAATGGGGTAGTCAGGTTCACAGCAGCAGTTACTTTCGTATTTGGCCGAGACGTCCCCTGCCATCAACACGCGCCAACCACGTGCTGCGTACGCCTCTATAACGTTGCAAAGAAAGCTGCGCATGTGACACGTATCGTTGTTTATTCCACCGTTCCACGGACAACCTCTGAGTTTCAATTGGCGTACGCCACCAAAACTAAGGTTCATTATTTTTTCTTCCTGGATCCCATTCATCCAGCGGCTAAGGACAATCTCCTTGAACGTATCGTCCAGTTCATGTGGCGCGTTGATCAGACGCAATTTATCCGAATCCGTTAAACTGAGACACATGACCGGACAGCATTTGGGCTCGCCTTTTTTAAATATCAACACGGATTTATCACTTAGGCGACGTGAGATATCTATGGCTGCTATGTTATGCCAACCCTGTACCATCATTGCTTCCAAAATCTTGAGAATTAAATACCTAAAAAAAGTAGAAAGAACAACGTTATGTATAGTCATGCTGTGAAACGGCCAATTTCAAAGTGCCCCTTTCAGCAAAAATTTTTAAGTTTGCCAAATCGTTCCATTGTTATTGCTATTTAAAGTTAGCAAAAATGTTCCTTTTAATGGACCTTGTCCGTCGTTAGAACGGACCTTTGTGACATCATGCAAGGGATTCCTCAATACAAGATATATTTACCGACTACCTTGGATGACGTCAGAATTTGGCTAGACCCTGGCTTCATGCCACGAGGGACAAGGTCCATTGAAAGGCAACTTTAGCCTTCAACAAGAAGACAATTTGACCAAATTGAAAAACTTTAGATATTACACCAAGTTTTGATATCGCTAATAACAATTTTGCAGATAGGGGCACTTTAACGTCATGGTCACTCAAGCATGCAATGTTAGCCTCATTGTAACTTACAGATTACTTGTACGTAAGCTAATTCTAGCAAAAAATATTTATTACTTTTAAGCTAAACGTGTGTTTCTATGCCTGCATGAGGATGCTGCGTTCTTTTAAACATTTCGAAACAGTATTGTCTATTGGGGACTACTGCAGTTTAGCGGACACCTTGGACACTGACCCAAACCCTAACCTATAATCATTGGCAAAAACGAGCCCGCGCTCCCGATAAAAGCGCTTCGGGTGTCCGCTAAACGGCAGTCTAGCCGTCTTTCTTGTACCTTGCCATCACCGACTCCCCCTTTGAAGAATGCCAAGGATTGCCTGAAAGTTTGAATTCCCAGCTTCCATGATGGTCTTTCTCATTCTGAATCGTACCGGGTGACCATACGCTTTGTATAACACCGCGTATTATTGTTATGATCGGCTCGGGGGCGCAAAGAATTCGGAGACGATCGGTACGATTAAGGCTTATCGTACAAAGTTGGGGGAACGAGCCTGCGGGCAGGTCGGGATCGTGGCGAAAGAAGAGAGAGTCTGCGGTACTTTTGAGGTTCACGTTGACAGCGAAGGAGTATTGGTGTTGATAAAAAAACCCGACTAAATTTTGGAGCAGCAGTTTTGCCATGATGGATTGCTCGTCCGTTGACTCCCAAGGGTTACCGCACATCTTTATCTCAAACACTCCATTTTGATAGGATTCATTTTGAATTCCTCTCGTCCAATTGCGGCGGACTGTCTGCTTAAAGGTTTCGACGAGCTGGGTTGGCAGATTGATAATCATAAGTTTGTCGGTGCTGCTCAAGCCAACGCAGACAAATGGATATGCCGATGAGAAATGGCTGGGAGATCGTGTGAGAAACACCGCACTTTTATCGTTCAAGCGTCCGAGGTCACATGATACCACCACTCTTCGCCCAATGTTGTATAATCTATGAAGGATTGTCGCTATCATTTGTCGTGAATTTCGAGAGCTAATCGATTCAGGTGAATTAAATGGATTACCTAAAACAAACATAGCGAGATATTGCCGACTCAGATAAAATTGTACACCGTTTACGATCAAAATTTATCTGTTCAGTTACCTATAACTTTGAATGCATGACCCGTCCCACAAATGGCATATTCGTTTTGAATGCCGTGGGGCCAAGATTCCATAATTGCCTGCCTTATGGTCGACAGTGCATCTTGATCATGGTGAAGAACAGTGATGCAATCAGTGTCGTGAAGAGATATACACATGGTAGAAAAGCCAACATTGACTTGAGGTAATGGCTTTGATGTGTCGTTACCCATCTTAATAAAAATAGTATACAACCATGAAATAGTTTAATATTAATGGCTGCAATTGGACATGTACACAACTTTGTTGAATATGTTGATTTTTTATTTTTTGCAACACTTCTGTCCTTTAGAACTTAGCCATATAGATTGATCTTTTGTCAACAATATACTTTTAGTTTTAATTTTTCTGAGCTATAAAGGTAAACTATCTATTCTTTCAAAATGGGTCACTGTTATGGTAAGGACCAGCTAGAATTCGGTATTCTTAGCTTAGCAAGGTGTGCTATATTTAAGAAAAGTGTTCACATATGTATTCATTACCATTCTTAGTGAGCGCCATGCTAAAGTATTTTAAATATTTGTTGAAATATACAAAATTTTAACTCACTACAAGACTTGCCAATGAATATAAAACTTAGAAAATGAATTAAACACAAGACTAAAGAATTAAAGTGTAGCTTTGCATTTTACTATATTTTTGACATATTTAATACTTTGCTTGTATGCATGAAGCAATGTAACACAGTAAGTCAGTATTTTATACACACAAACTGATGAGCAGCCCTTTATTTGTTGTACTCACATCCATTTGAAGGAGGGAAGGGACTGAGACAGAGGTTCAACATTACACCCAAATTATGAGGTCATGGACTCAAGGTCAGTATAACATTTAAATATATTTGGAAAATTTATTGTTGTTGATTTCCTATCTCCTTCCTGTGACTTTGTAAAATGTTTAATGTGTATTTAGGACACAAGTTAGCTTGTGGTTGTACCCCAGATCATTTGAATTATCACGACTGTTAACCAGGGTTGTTAGGCTCCAGCGCTCATTTGTAGCCAAATATGGTTTGAAAAGTGGCCAAATGGCAACAAAAGAGGCCAAACTTGTTTTCTGAGCCCGCACTGTTTATGGCATGCGGTTTTAATAAGTTTTTCTAATTGCTTCTTATAGTCTATATGGATTTATCATAAATATATACCATACATTGCAAATCTAGCGATGCCAACGCCTAATGTTCACATCAAAGGACATATGGGAAGAGGTGAATACAGAACGTAAGACTGAAAATTTATTCGCTGTTGCAAAAATATAAGGTGCTTGTTGACGAAATGAAGAGAAAAAATGAACTACACATCCAAAAATTTCTTGATAAGCATTACAAGCTTAAAAAGGCCATGTCAAAAATACAAAGTGAATAAACTATTTTATCTGTCTTTCTATAAGATCTCGACGTGCATAGTTGTCATTTTTTACTGCTCTCCATATATACAGATTTATATAAATATTTATGCATAGTTCTTATAATGTTTATTCTACTCACATTCATACATGTGTTTAGTGGCAAACAGCTCAAGCATTCGCTTAGTTACCTTAAAGTTAATGCAGCAGTTCCAGGCAAAGTGTAGGCTGGAACGAATACGAATAATGGCATTTAGCAGTTCTAAGCTCATCCTATTGCGTTGTTTTGTCTTCACTGATGTCACCAAGGAAAAGGTTCTTTCAACCACTGCATTGCTTACAGGATTTGTCAGGCAGCTTAAGGCGTAAGTTGCCAATTCCTTGAATGGTTTGACCCCAAGAGAAGTTTGGAACTGAACTATCTTTGACCAAAATGCAACTGCTGTATCAGGTATGATGCCGTTAAAAATTTGTTCCTCTTTCCAATTTCGGTGGACGATCTTCCTGTACTGCTCCTCAATTGCATAATCTTGATCCTTTCGTAGATTAGGAAGTGGCAGTTGCTCAAAATCGGCTCTCGTTGTTACATCAAGAACTTTGCTTGGATGCAGGGTGCTTAAACCTTTAAAGATATTCCGGACAGCTGGTAAACGTTTCTCTACTTGATTTACAGCTTCCACAAGAAATTCTAGACACCTATTTTTCACTTCAGAAACTTCAGCTTCAGCACGTCGTTTGTCTTGTTGGGAAGAAATGTATTTCTTTGCTTCTGACAAGAACTTTCCACCAAAGTCAACTTCATAAATGGCTAGATATTTTCCTTGGTGGTCGAAAACTCTACCATATAAACTTTTATGGTGTACATTTAGTTCCGTGAACATTTCTTCTGGATCACCATCAGTTGCCTGGAAGAAGGCATTCACCCTGTCGAATTCTGTGACCAGAGGAGAAACGAAATGGAAATAAAGATATAGGACTGGATCATTGAGCATGTCCAGAAGAATACGAGCCTTGAATCTTGCTGCCTGCGTCGTCTCTGGTTGTGCTGTTCGGAAGTAAGCTTGCAGCTCAAACCAATTTGTGAGAATGCGAAATATAACTTTTCCTCTTACAAGCCACCTCGTAGTTGAGTACTTCTCAAACGGTGCATCTTGCACATCATCTGCATGCTGAACACAAAGGGACAACGAATGGCAAATACACGTCATCTTGATGCAATGAGGAGCGACAGCAGCTATTCTTGTCCACAGCGAATTGTGTTCCCCAACCATCACTGAAGCACCGTCACTAGCATAGCCAACACAATTCACTAAATCAAGTTTAATTGTGGCAAGGCAATCTTTGATTGCATTAAAAAGATCATCTGCTGAAGTGTGGACAACAGGAACCAGGTCAACAAACGCTGTAACGATCTTATTTTCAACTTCGCTGAAATACCTTACGATAATGCAGACCTGCTTCGATGTGGAAATATCAGTAGATTCATCCACAATTAACGAAAACTTCTTACCCTGGACATCAGCAATCAGTTGTTCCTTCAACGCTGGACTTATAACTTTGGTCAATAGCTTTGAGCATTTGTTTCTATGCATTTTAATGTTCTCAAGTTTGCTTCCATGAGCATTTCGGGCTATTATCCCTCCGAGATGATCCATGGTCAAGATTGCCGAATGGCAAGCCATTGTAACAGCTAGCTCGATCTCGGCGACCTTTACTTCTTCTGCAACTTTTGGGACACGTACGACTTGGACGGGCCTTGTAGTAGTAGATACTTTAATGTGTTTGATGTGTTTATCAGTTTTTTCGTATTTGGTTAAGTTTGCTTGTTTGGGTCTGATTGTGGCACGGCACAATTTACAAAAAGCATCTTCACTTCCGTCTGAAGCTTTTGTGAGCCAGCTAAATTTACTTTCCCAAGACTTGTTATATTTTCCTCCGCTATCATAAGCTCCTTTCCATTTTGATGCCATAATATTGCAACGAATAACGTTTTTATCAGTCTTAACTAGTATTAGTAGTGGTCGAACGTGCTATTTATAGCTAGATGTCGGACGTCTACGAAGACAAAGCTGTGTGCTTGCTTGTGATTAGCTGGTTAAATTGCATGACAATTGGCTGAATTATACTTAGCTGTGATTGGATGAAAACAATTCAATGCTCAATTTGATCCTTATGATCATTTTAGTTGTATTTCCATCGCATTTTGTACATTTAAGAGATTTTACAAATAAAGCTCAATAAAATTTAAAAAAATTGTTTGAGTAAAAAGAGGCCAAAAGTAGCCAAATAGCCAAAAAATTTCGAGGCCAAAGAAAGAAAAAAGGCCAAAATCGAGTTATTTGGCCTCAAAAGGCCAAACTAACAACCCTGCTGTTAACACAGATACGTATACAGAAGCGCCACTTAGCGAAAAATCTGTCCCCTACTTGTACCCAGTTCTTAAGTGCGCATCTTTGCGTCCGCCATTACTCCAGCCAGATAAACTCATTGAGTTCTATAATAACTGGAGCGGCTATCTCAAGCGCGGCCTTAGATATCTGGTGACGCCAAAAAAATGGCGGATTTCGTCCGTTGCCGCTGAGATTTACCGAAATTGACCGCTTTTCCGAAAATTTCACAATTTCCCTCCTCCTGATGAAAGAGTGAGGAAAATGTATATGTGTATTTGGGATTCGGCAAGCAATTTTTTGATGAAAATCACGATAAAAACCTACAATTCGTAACAGCGAGTCAACCTAGCTTTCCAGTTATCGGCTCCTACGAGGAAAGATATTAACTATAAACTATGTACGAAAGAACTCTTTGTTGGCTGCGTTTGAACGTTTTTAAACGTCGTGTCTAATGTACATGTGGACGATGTGGTCTCTTTTCAAGGTAAGGAGAAAGTCTTAAAGCCATGTCCAGCCGACAATTTAAAAAAGATAGTAAAAAACAAATTCTGAAGAAACGAGATATCTCGAGATGAAAAAATGTGAATGAAAACAAAACGCGAAGTGAACTGTAAAATTTCGATTTATTTCAAAGTCATCCTCAGACAGAATGATAATCCAAACCATGCATACATATATATTTACAATGAATGAATTAAGTAACGAAAGTCAAGCAATAGAAATTAAATAGTTTGATATTTACGAAGCGGAGTTGGAAGAGCTGTCATATTTTAAAAGGATGAATTGAAACAAGAGACCAGACTGGTGGAATGAGTGTATTGTAATTTAAGAGAAGAGTTGTAATTCTTTGCTAGCCTTAAGTCCCGTGTTAAGAAACCATTTCTTAATATATGTGTATGCATGGTTTGATTATCATTCTGTCTGTGGATGACTTTGAAATAAATCAAATTTTACAGTTCATGTCTTGTTTTGATTCACATTTTTACATCTCAAGATGTCTTGTTTCTTCAGAATTTGTTCTTTACTTAACTCTTAAAGAGTACTCTATAGTCATATTTATGTCAATGTGGTAATGTATATTAGTGAATTCCTGCATGTGGCAAGCCACCATGGCAGGAATTTACCATCCTCATTACACATTTCTCTGTTTCCTGACACACTTTCAGAAGATCGTCAGTTGGTATTTTTAAACCACCGTTGCTCTTCCATGCCACAAATAGTTCTGGTGCTCTTTCTTTAGATGATGTCAGAGCATCCATACAATCATCACAATGGATCTTCCTTTTCACCATTTTTGCGACATAGCCAGCAATATACAATATTGCTGCCTCCTGTATAGTCTGAAAGCTGAATGTAGTTTGAGGTGTAGCTGTAATCGTGGTCAGTTTGTTCTGGCCCGCAGTTCTAGATCGTATCTTCTTGCAGTATTTACATC